CTTTATCAACTGATACGCAGCGCAGCAGAAGCCGTTGCATACCATTGAGAGATGGCTGGAGATGGCAACGGTTCCAGTTGGAGAATAATGAAGCAAAGTTATGTACCGATCAGTACAATAACAATGCTGCTGGGTATATCTCTATGAATGTGGGAAACGTCAAACAGTTGTACTTTTTTATTCATCTAATCGCCCAGTACGTGAAGTTTCCGATTTCACGAATTTTTCAGTCTGATTATGTAGTGCGTCGAACATGAAGACCATAGAAGGGAAAGTGGTGATGCTAGGATCTCAAGGTAAGTGTTAATCGGTAAATACGGTAAATTGCTTGATTATTGTTATGTAACGCCACGAGTAAATTTCTAAAGTTTGTTAGGAGCGTCCCGCGGACAACACGCATATGTAACTCGGTTACGTGCCTCAGAGATCAATCACCGCTTTGTTGTTCCTGATTCATCTTTTGTTACAACCGTAGAGGTTAGGCGAATCCATGTTCGAGCCTGCATACAACTGCTTATTTACATTTATAACGAAACTCAACATTACATCTGATATACTTGTGTACGCGTGATTGCCTTACGCGAGATAAATTGGAATTAAATGAAAAATAGAATTGTGTCATCTATTTGCGACTCTGAAATAATAAATAACTATTTATGTCACTACGTATACATATAAGTACGAATCAAGTTTTTTGTTCTATATTGGATTTTTCTCAACGACAAATTCATTTAAAAATATTTGGCATTCATGCAATCATTATCTTCTAATCATGATAAAAACAATTATAATGATATAAATATTTACATAATTAAATATTAACAACAGCTGATTTTTATTAAGACGTCTACTATCGGAATTTTATTTTAAAAAGTCATTTTATTTAAAAGTTATTTTGTGTATAATTAATTCGTAAAAAGCTAATTTTTTCGGGCAAGATATTTTCGCCGCAAGCATGGCAGAAGTTACAATACTTTTTTATCTTATACTATTATTAAAATATCACTTCAAAAAATAATTATAATGAAAGTTGTGTTTATGATTTATATCCTTTTTACTGCTGCTATCGATATAAACCGTAAATACAAGTCGTAAATAATTTGGCTATAAAGACGAAAATTAGGATGCAATAAACACCTTTTTTTTCTTTTTCACTTTTAAACTGCCGATAATCGATTTTATTTATTGCTATAATAAAATATGTAAATGCATGATCTATATATAAATATCATTGCAATTATATTTGCTGCCATAGCTATTAACATTAAATTGGCAAAATTTACTTTTCTATTTATATATTATAATTATGATTAATATAATTTAAAAGATGAAATTAATCTGAAAAAAATACATAAGTAAACGTGAACATGATGCAATTGATTATGAAAACGTTTATCGTTATTCGTTTTAATATCGAATCTCGTACTATAACCTGAGATAAATTTGTTATCAGATAAAGAGATTGATTTTCTAATATCTGTGAAATAACGTTCGGCTGTATCGCGTTAAATGCTAATCTCTAAGTATTATAAACACACCAATAATGATAACATTTTCAGGTGTTGGAAAAACGAGCCTAGTCGGGCGTTACTTGGGAAACTTTGAACCTGCGAGTCCGACGATAGGCGCATCTTTCTTCAATTTTAAAATCAATCTTAAGGATGCAAGAATAAAATTGCAAGTAAGTAAAACATTTTTGTACGAATATTTATTGTTTAATTTAGTGTATTGTTTTAGTGAAAAATAGAAAACAAAATTTTAACATCTGCGTTATATTTTCAATTAATCCTCTGAATGCATCTGCTCAGTCTTTGTCTCGACTATTCATATCGTTATCGTCACTGATTCAGTCTAAAAACTTCCATCTTATCTAGAGATAACGAGGAAATTACAAATACCACTAATGGATTTAATTACATAGGTATGGGACACAGCTGGTCAGGAGAGATTTCGCTCCATGGCACCAATGTACTACAGAAACGCTAACGCGGCCATGCTGGTATTTGACCTTACGCAGTACAATACCTTCTCCGCGATCAAGGGTTGGGTGAAGGAGCTGCAGCAGAACGTGGAGGAAACTCTAATACTAACCGTAATCGGCAACAAATCCGATCTAGCGCATCAACGTCAGGTAGACAGTGAGGAAGGACAAAAGTACGCTACGTCAATTGGTGCTTCATATCACGAGATCTCGGTGCTACACAACGAGGGAGTGGAAACTGTTTTCTTAGCCATTGCTATGGGACTGCAAAGAATGGCATCCGAAGATTTTGATACGACCACCACCCTCAAAATTTCCGATTCCAGCAATTTTTTCAGCAACGACATGCCACCCTCGCCTTCCGCCGAAGAGGTCGGACAGAATAGCAGCATTGCGTACGGAATACACGAAAGACCATTTACCTGCTGTTAGTTCTGACTTGGAACAGACAGAAGAATCGGAAGAAAATTACTTTATTTAAGAATTTGCATTAGCGTATGATTATGTCGCGCTAAGACAACGAGTTTAAAATATTGCTTGCCGCATCTTGCGAACCGCGAACTTGTGTGTTTTTTCGACGCATATTGTTAATAAGCAATATGTTTATCATACGATGTGTCTTTGTTCTCGAGACGCAAGGTGTATGCGGAAAACGCAAGGCAAACAACAATGTGTTCTTCCTAAACTGCTTTGGCCCTACTTTGCTTAATTATTATAAATGAGATCTATGACCAATGTTCGTGTCGATTTATCGCGGGCGTTAAATCGATGTCGAAATATTATCAAGCGATATTGTAACGTTGAAGGAGAAAAAATTACACAATCCGGATTTCCTATAAATAAATAATAAAAATTAGATGATAATAATAATAAAAATTAGATAGAGAAGTGAAAAATTATATTTTGTTGCGTCTTAAATTCGTATGTAAGCGAGATCTCATAAAGAACAATCTAACGCGGTACGTTAATTCGTGTTAAAGTGATTAAGGTCATGACTAGTTACATACTAAGAAATGTAACATTGTACAAGGCTATAAACTCAATTATCAATTTTAATTTTGTAATATTCAATCTTTTGATTAGATAAATTTCAACTTATTTTATTTCTATTTAATATATAATAATGCGTGAAATTAAAGGATTCTACATAATCTTTTAATGCATATGACAGCGTATGACAGTCAAACAACTTGTCAATAACAACAATAAGATCACTTTGCAAATTCCAACTAATTTTTACAATTAACATTACTTTTACTCTATGTTTAATAATTTTACATGAAACAACAGTATTCTGTATCGGTGCGTAAATTATTTATAAATAAAGTAGAATAGATTTATGTTATAATTTTTTTTTTGCGAAGACTGCTAAACTTTAAGTTCTAACTACTTTTTCCACGTAAACGATGATTTATTTTCGATACTTTTAAGAAAACCCTCAACATACATATATTGTGACACGCACGTTCATGCGTTTTACATTACATTTTTCAGAATTTTATATTCAATAAAAATAAATATATTTATAATAAAACATATTTATATATAAACAACCTCTTGTTTACATGACGCAATCTTTTGCATGTAGTCAGTAATACAGATTTCATTGCATGACGTATCTATATTCAAGTGCTTATTTTATATATTTAATTAAATATAATAACCTAATATCTATATATTATATCATCTTGGCACAGTCGAAATAGGATATACTTGTCCGAGGTCCGAAAAGCTGCACCTCGTCGGAAAATCTACTCGTCGCACTACGACAGAGAGCGATAATCACACAATGACTCATTCTCACTCCAGGCCGAGCCTCGCGGAGCGTGACGTCCCAGCTTTGTCTACGTGTAACTCATCCCATTTTCATTATGTAAGCGCCCGTTTATTATGCATCTAGGCCCATTAGAACGCCGTGGTGGTATCTTCGAAACCGACGCGTAGTGAAAAGACGCGCTCTACGCTCAGGGTCGCACGCGCGTACGGGAGTCAAGGAACCCGAAACTCATGTTTTCTCACTGACGTAATTCGAACTTTGTGACTTGGAAGAAAGGCAAGACTCCAAGCTCACACAGCGTGAAAAATTCAATTATTAGACGAAAGAATTCACGAGAGTGTTGACGTTAGAAATATCAAAGTTCTAATAAAATATAGTAAAGATAATTACAAAATTTCACAAACAAATTATCGTAGATACATTAGATACGTTTATCAAGTTAAATCTGAATCTAATTTCAGTGCCGGAAAGATTCGAAGATATAAGTACCGTTAGACATAATTAACTATTCGTTGGCTTCTTAAATGTACTGTAACTCTGAAATAAGTGTAATCGCGAAGATGCATTTACGCGCGGCTTTCGCGCGAGTAAAAGCGTTTGGGCAATTAGTCGACAGCACAGCGGCATCGTGTTTTCTAATAGCGAGAGAATCGATTAGCATATTGCGCGCAAGCATAGTTTTATTGCCGTTTGAAAACAATAGGCTATAAAGCGATATCTAAAATTGACCAATTGCAATGCGTAACTACAGGTCAATGTTTTTATGCGAAGGAAATCGTCGCGAGAGATTTTAGACGCTCTTTCTCGACACGCCCGTGATGTAAAAAGATTGTCCTTCGAGTCCTTGACACGCGCGCGAAATAATTTGAGCTTCAAAGTTTGCTAAACAGGAAGAATTTCATCTTTCCGGGCCGTTGCAACAGGTATATTTTCACTTTCTTCTTGTTAACGATCACGCTGTGCACAAAAGGGTCGCGCTTCTTCAAGTGAAGTAATCAGGGCCTTCCGGTAACGCATTAAAATTTTTCAAAAAATTAGCTATCATTATAAAATCATTAAAAGACAAAGATAGCATATGAAAAAATTTTTAAACTTGTAAAATAATTCTTTTTAAATAATTCTATTGAACAAACAATTTTATATCCTAATTTTTTTAACAATTTTAATATTTTTGAAAACGTGCAAAATCAATAATTTTATCATTAATAATAATGTATGCAAGTTCTAAGAATAATAAAACATCGCAACACAAGGTTCTAACTATAGTCATGCATTATCGCGAACAATCTATGCAAGCGCGCGAGAAATACACAATTCGATTTCGCAATACTACGAGCATCACGATCTGCTCCGTTCGCCGGTGCGTTAATTAGATGCAGCCGCGAAATTGCAGACGAGGAAAGAAGAGGAGAGAGATTCGCTCGGATCTCTGAGCGAGCACGAGCTTCTTTAAGCGTGCAAGCGTCGCGAGTAGGAGAAGAAGACGTAGAGACGAAGAGAAGAAGAACCAGCAGACGAGAGGAGGAAGCAGAAGAGGCGATCATAATGCCGACTCTGCGCTGTATAAGACAATGATACAGTTACACGATGCTCTCAGTTGTGAGCGAATCGTAAGAGGCACGACACAGAAGCCTGTACGCGAAAGTATAATGAACCGCGGCAAGGACGACACGCTAATTACGCCCAGCCTATTAATTAAAAGAGCGAACGCTCGTTAATACCGCCGGAAGGAGTCGTCAGAAGACCGTTCGCCGATCAGCGCGAACCTTTATTTTACCGCGGAGTATCGATCCGTATCAATCGAGGTAGTGATCGAGTGAAGACGAATCTCTCTTATGCGGTGATAAAAAAAATCTTAAAAATTTTGTCTTAAAACAAAAGATTTTTTCCTGCGAACTATTTCTGTGTACGCATCGCGCTTTTTACGATTTTACTCAAAATATTCAAAATACTTAAGACGTTACTGGAAAATTGTTGACGATTATCCTCACAATTGCGGTGATCGCTAATCGTGTGCGCGTATCTTTCGAACGGACATTTATTCAGGGACGTTTCGTGTGAATGAACCGTGATTCATAGATCGCGGATAGAATAGAACGCCAGATAACGGCTAGAAAGTAATAACTAAAGCGTTCACATGTGTATTAAATAAGAGTGGCGAATAAATCACGTTAATTGAGACATAAATATATTTCATATCAACTTGTTATCAGGAATAAATTAGGCGCTCATATTATAAAAAGAAGAATAATGAGAACAATTTTTATCAAAACAGGGAAAACAGGGAATGGTGCACATCATGTGAAGTGAAGTGTTCTTAGAGCAGAAAGAATCTATCAACAACAATGGAGAGAAGGTTTCTCGTTTTCATCATCTGTTTCCTGCAATCCTACCAAGTATCGCACTCGATCGGTCTCACAATTGATAATCAGCTTGTAATTATTGCGGATGGTAAGCGAGATTGGTTGACCGGGACACAAAATATCGAGTATCATTAAATGTAATCACAATGCAGATTGCTACACGAGAGTGGCCATCGGATCCAAATTGCCGGACATGGACATCTTTTCAAGCGTCGCGGTTGTTAGCATTTCGGAATGCGAGGACGAGTGTTCGAAGAGAAGAAATTCTTGTAACGCGTTTGCTTTCGGGTACGCAACGCGACGCATAAGTGCAACAGAGAATTCTAATCGCAATAATAAAATAATGATTTTTAAGAAATATATGAATGAAATATAAAAATATTGTCTTGCATTGATGTAGGATCAGCGTCAAAGGTAACGGAACATGTGCGTTCAGTGCGAAAATGCCGAAACCCCAAGAACTACTATCCCATGCCGATTACGATGTCTACGTAAGAAGCCAACGTGCGCCGCATTGCGAGCCAGATCGTCTTTACGAGATGGGAAGTGACAGCATCGAACAGCAGAAAAAAAACGAGACGAAACCGATCACGAGATTCGGAAGCGGCCTTTTGAACCCGACAATGCCAAGCATCCCGTCATCTCCAAGGTACGATTATCCGATTATTAATTTCAAACAGAGAACAATCCCGCTATTAGCATTTCCATTGTTTGCTCTTATCTCAACCGTGAGATAGATATTTCTGACGGAAACAAGGGAATGCTTATATTTTACGCGAGAGATATGCATATTAATGTAAATACAGAAAAGAAGCTTCAATATAACCTTCATTGGTAGATATATCTTGTAACATCACCGTGGACTGTCAAAATATCAAAATATAATATTTATATTCCAAGAAAAAATTCTTTAAAATAAATTATTCAATATCAAATATTTCAATTTAACTTCGAATTTTGTTTGTTTTTATTTATTTTATATGAGAAATAGTTTAATTAAATCAATTGTGACGACAATCATACACAAATTTTTGCATGCACTCACATTTGAAGGACCATAGAAAACACGATGTCTGGCATCGCCAACAAACGTCCGCACCAGGAAAAACCTTCCTTCGATGAAAAGCGTCGGATAACCGATATCCTTAAAAATAGAGATTCGACGCCATCCGCTAATCCTTTTGAAATCGACAACGCAAAAGTTACAAATGACTACAACGATCTGTCAATATACTCAGACCAAAAATCAATTTTCGATCAAAGAATACATTTAAATCCAAATTACGATCATTCAAATTTTGATGTATCATCCTTCAGAAATCCTTTTGCCAATATCAATCTACATTTTGGATCAAACTTAGACAGCGACGTTCATTCGTATAAAGCTCTTACCATTCATAACGGGCCCTTCGAAATTTTTTCGAGACCTGTTTTCATCCACGATGGAATCTCGAAGAACAAATCTCCTACAAATTTCTGGACCGACCACTCAACGTATCGAAACATAATCGCAAGTCATTTTACTCAACATCAAAATCAAGGATATCTCAATAATGTATACAAAAGTCAAGGAATTATCACAAAGCCGAAGCAGAATGAGTTAATCACAGGAAATTATGATCTCAGCAAAGTGTATCGTCCGATCAGCAATTCTTATGATTTCGACATAAATGGGAAAAAAAGTGCGAACGAAGGATTCAAGGATATTTCCAAAATGTGGAGTCCAGAAGTGTTGACTGGATTTCGCGATTTTGGTGCAAGGATTACCGAAAAATCGACATGTGAGTATTAATTCAATTTCGCTTTCAATTAATTACGTATCACTTTCTACTGACATTTTTTCCTGCGTTCTTTCGGAAAATACTAAATTCAAATTAATTTGCGTGCGTAAGCTCTCGGTGCAATTCGAACACCTCAAGAAACGGAAACACAAATCTCCGTCGTTAACGAGGCGTACACGAAAGACCGGAGACACAAATCTTCGACCAATTGTCGCTGTGGCTATTTCGCGTATGATGCGTATGTGAGGCGCAACCTCAATTTTTCTATGCAGCAATCACACGCGGTTGCATTATGTTGCGCTGTGTTCCACAAGTTAATTATCACTCTCTTACGTAAAACGACATTGTTCCGTTACATTAATTTGCTCTTCAAACATAAAATCATATACTTAAAGTTTTCACACCTTAAATCATAAATATAACAGCGCATAGCATAGTCTCAAATTATTGCCGGATATCTTTCTTTAATTTTTACATGACGCTTTACGAGTATTCTATACATATATTTTCACCAAGTTAATGATATTCTATCGCGAAATTTTTTTGAAATTAGAATCCAGAGACAATGCTTAGAAATTCTGTTACAATAGCAATGTTCTAGATCGTTAATTCGTTATGCTGCTCTGTCAACTGACCGTCGCAATCAGCTGCCAGTGTTTATCGAGCCGCGTTCATCTACGAATCGCCGATTGACAAATAGCAACGGCATTGACATGGATTTTAAACCGTATGCGAATTAGCTCGCTGCATCCGTTGACTTCCGGCGTTAGCCGCTCTTATCGCGTAACTTTCGCGCATTTTTCTAACTACAGCGTAACGGCGATAGAATAACACGATACTATTTTCCAATTCTTAAATAATAAAACAATGGAAATACAGTGCATTTTTATTGAAATGCCAGTAAAAATAAAAACATGTCTAACATTTGGGAACTAGCATTTCTCTTGTGCGAGGTTTATCGTCCGAGCGACGACCGGCCAAAGGAAACTCGATGAATTTTCGCGATTGTGCCATTGCGGAATGAGAATGACAAGTTGCACAAGAGAAAAAAAATAAATGTCGAGACACTACAGGACGCTCGACTTCCGGTTCGCGTGATCTACGAACATAAGACGCTTTTACTTTCGACAGCTAGATTCTTATTCCTGCCAGCGCTTCAAATTAATTGCGTGCAACCTGTCTGCTTCTTTGATCAGGAATTGTTGCAATCGATTGGACGCGGCGATTGCGACATAATTTATAAAATTTACCTCCGAGGAAGTTTGCGTGCCTTTCGAAAGATCTTAAAGTTCGATACAACAGTCGCGTGAAGATCACGTAATCGAATTTGACTGACTCGAATCGCGGAAGGGTGATTTTTACTAAAGTTATGACGCGACATTAAGAGCTAGGCTGGCTGAAATAATTGAGGTAATTGTGACCCTGACGAATCACGAAGGACGTGCGACGGTATATCCCTTCTAAAGTGATGTCACTCTTTGTTATTCCTTAGCACAAAAGTTTTAACGACGGAAAAATGCAAATGCATGGTTCCGGCAGTTGATTTCTGGGTAAAGATCTTACGAATAAATAATAATCTTCTATGTATCTTGGCTAAAAAACGTAGAAGATGTATATATTCGAAAAAACAATAACAAAGTTATTAAATTATTTGAATGAAGAATAATAGCCAGGCTATGTCCGTAAACAAAATAAATATTCATGAAATTAAAAAAAAAAAACAATAAAAATCTAAATAAGAATCAAGAAATTATAAAAACACGTACATGCGTCTTCTGAAAAATCGTATCTCAATTAAAGATTTACATCCTGCAATTACTTAAAACGTTGAGTGACTCGCGGATCAATTTGACATAATTGTACAAAGTACCGAATGACGGTACTCGGCAAAAGAATAAAACGCTTGCGTGTCCGTGAGCAAAGGAAAATAATAGTAAGTGGAATCATTAATGATCATGTAACGCTGAAACCCCTCCCCCGACGTGTGAGCAGTTCCTCCCACTATTCTCGCGGAAACGTTCACTTTTCTATAAAACGATGCGAGCCTGTAATTTCTCTGTTACTTTTTGCGCGATTTTCAGTTTGCGCCATTTTTCGCGCAAACGTGCCAAAGTACGTACCGGAGCGGCATAACTCGAACGTGAAAATTTTCTCAAGTGATATAAAAATGGCTATATTTCGCTGCGATTCGTGGTATATCGCGAGAATAAATCGCGGCTCGAAGGAAAATTCGAAGCGCTGAAGTCGCCTCGTGCGTACGTACGTTTGCGTCGCTTCTCTCGCGATTTCGTGTTGGGTGATATATGCATTTCGGTAAACCAATTCATCAGTCGAACGTGGGAATCATGTTACGCCGACGATGGTTGTGGATTTTTGTGTTGGTTGTAATTACCCGGCGAGCCACTTCGGACTCGATCATTATAGTGGAGGATGAGTGCTCGCGTAAGTCTCGTGCGAAAAAAAAAAAAGATAGAAAGAGAGTTGTGTCAGTAGAAAGTGCATCCAAATTTTCTTTTCCAGCATGCTACAGAAGATTGCTATCCGGCAAGAAGAGTCTAGAATTGCATGTAAGACGCGTCATCGAGTGCGAAAGGCTCGATGACTGCCATCGCGCTTGCGATTATGAGAAGTTCTTCGTTTGCGAAGGTTTTAATTACAGGTAATTAGAAATCTTCCATTTTTTTTATATAAAAATTGGCAAAAGTATTTAAAAGATTAATATTGTGCACTAGTAATTTCCCCGATACACTCGCCAATTCTGGTTGCTTGTAATATGTAATTAGAATTTTAATGAATTTTGTATAAGATAGCCGAAAGCAATCTGCTTAACAGTTAACAACCGATTATTCACGCTTCAAGTCTTTCAATGACTTTAAACGCATTTCTATACACGTGCGTATATATCTTGGATACTTAATATCAAATGTACACGCAATACATACGTCTGCATGACCCATACGGTTGCATCACGGACAATTTGATCGTACCGCAATCTGTGACACGCTTTTCTGTTGAGGAACTATCATGCACACGCGTCGGAAAAGTTGCACAAACTGTTTTCCAACATCCAATTAACATACTCTAAGAAAATCGCTATAAAAATAATAAATAATTCCCTAATTATTGAGCTTAAGATCAATGATAAATCTGCTTGTTACTGACTGATTACGATTTTGTACAAAAAGACGCATTGGACATGGAACGCGAGGCACGTGTGAGTTAACGTCAATACCATTTTCTCGTATGGATCTCCATCGAGACTTTATATCGGATCCTCAATGCGACTATTACGAGAAAGATCCGAATTGCGCGGCAAATGCACCCGGAACACGACCATACTGGTGGAACCAGCAATCTAGACCTAGTCAGCCTTACGGTCCCCCTTACTCAACTGATGAAAGATTAGATACAAGGTATAAAAAAATTTGTTGATTATCTCGATATTTTTCATTTTCTATGAAAATTTATTCAAACTACTTTAATTTCTAAAAAACTAATAAATTTATTTTTATGAGAAAACACTATTTAAATAAAGACAAAGAATATTTGTTTATATTTGAGAAACAATTCAACAATTTGCCTATATTTATCTAATTATTCAAGCGTAAACCGTGCTTTTTTTTCTTCATCTTTCAAGTAAAATAAAAATTTGAATTCTAATCTATACAAATTTTCCACAAGACCCTACCCTCCAGATCGACCCTTAAACGAAGTACCGCGACCCTTGGATTACGATCGGCGACCCCTGAAAGAAATTCCGCGCCCCTTCGACTTTGATCGACGTCCTTCAAACGAGATTCCGCGGCCCTTGGATTACGGTCATAGACCCGCGGATCACGATCGACGACCACCAACGATTTACGGGCATCCTCATCACGGACAGTACGATACGTTTGATCGCAGGGGTCATCCAAATAATCAAGATTCATTTCGGGATGAATATCCGGCGACGAGACCGGGAGAACGATATGACTATAGCATTCGATTTCCACCTAGACGACCCGCTGACGATGACTTTTATAACATAAATCGGCCGTGGACGCGATATCCGAGTAGAAGAATCGATCATGGATCTGCTCACGATATAGGTAATATTTTGCATATTTAGATATATAAAAAAAGCCAATATTTTCTTTAAAAAACAAACTGTCGTATTATATTTTTTATATGTGTTCGTTATATTGTAACGCAGGTACAAATGAAATTGGCTCGTATTTGCCGGACCATAGAAAGGATCCAACTCGCGACTGGAGTTCTTACGGCACTATGTACGGCAACTCTTACGGCTATGATACGAATTACGTGAACAAATTCGATGTACCAAAGTACTATCCGAAATCCCAACCACCTAAACCACCGCATTCTTACGAGAGCGACCATTTTTACGGTGAATTTTATAATTACGGCGGCGCTTTCGGATATGGTGACAGTTACATACCGGCCGATCAGGATCTCATTTACGGTGCAAGTGGAAAAATTGAGGAATGCTCAGTTAGAGCCGGCGCAGGATTTAGACTCAGCCGAAGAGTCGTTCGGAGAACTTATCTGACACCGAATCTGGATCATTGCGAAAGCTTATGCATTAATGAGAAGAGTTATGTCTGCATGAGTTTCAGTTATAGGTATAGTTTAATATATGATTTAATATCGATCTAATATTTTACATTAATTAATATAATATTAATTAATCCGATATATAAATTGAACAGATATAATGTAGCACCCACGGATCCTACAGACAACTGTCTTCTCAGCGATATTTCGTACAAAGATCTGAATTTTTACATCGACCTCGAACCTGATCGCGATTATGATATTTATGCCATAGTTGCCAACTCAAGAACATGCGGCACGAGAAAAGAATCGAGTTCACATCTTCCGGATGGTATATTATTTGATTGAAATAATTTTATCTTTGATTCATTTTAATACAATCGCAGTTTAATCAAAAGAATTTTCAATGTATTATTTATCCGTCCCTCAAAATTTTTCTTAAAAAGCAAAGAAGACCAACTTTCAACAAATAACGCAATTTATTGTCCCGAGCGTTGCACTAGTGCCCCGATTGCGTACCGTATATTATGCGTTCCGCTTTGTGTTTCCGGTAACAACTAAAATCGACAGACAACTACGAGTAGTCTGTCTCTTTCTCTCTTTTTTCAATTTTATTCAATAGAATTCGCGAGAGTCACGAGAAGTTTTTTTATAAAACTTTTCTAGAGTGTTTTTGGAGAGTTAGAAGCGGATTTGGAATGCCGATGGACGTCGTTAGAAAATCGATAATAGTTGACAATCTAGGAGAGTGTCAGGCAGAATGCACGATAACGCAAGAGTTTATGTGTAGAAGTTTTACGTTCAAGTAAGTGTTGTATTATTCAAATAATAATTTTGCATTGTGGAAAGCAATAATATGTATAAAATTAAATATTAAGTTAAACAGATTGCCAGTAAAATAGTAAAATGTTATCCTATATATCGTGAATATTTCAGATACGGATTAGAAAAAGGCCACTCGGCAGATACTCAAACTAATTGTTACCTAAGCGATTGGCCGTCGCAAGATATTAATCCTACTCATATGCCAGACATGGATGGCGCAGAGTTATACGAAAGAGGCAGTTTCGGCAGAGGATGCGAACCTTACACCGTACCGTTTTTCAACATGGGGCGATTTAGTGACAAGCAACCTTCGCAAGGAGACGAAGGTAGAAATGCAAAAAATATGAATTTATACATTTAGTAGGGGAAGGTGGGGTAAGACGGACCCCCTAAGCGAAAATGGCTATATTTTTTATATTAATGACAAAAAATAACTGAAATTTAGCATGAAGAAACTGTAGAATGTTTATTATAAGATTATAATGTTAAATTTTCAAAATTTGCAAAAGTTTGAATTATATTATTAAGATTTTTAAAAACTTAACTTTTGTCCGTTTTACCCCATGGGTGGGGTAAAATGGACCATCCCATGGGGTAAAACGAACCAAGCCGAGATAATATGGATCAAGAAATAATTTAACTGATTAACTCAAAAATCAAAAACTATATATTATTTATTAAATATTTTTTAATAAGAATAGAAATTAATTTAACATTAATCATTTTATTATACACACAAATCTTTAAAAATAATTATAAATCTTTATAATTTTTAACGTTTATATTAAATATAACATTAAATATAACATTTTAAAATAAAGCATAGTAAATAAAATAAATAATTATTATAAATCTGTTTTTATTTGGAGACATTATTTTCAATAAATTTCAAGTTTCTTCTACTTTTAACAGTGCGTTTTTTATTTTTCATAGCTTTTTCCAGTAAAAAAAATGAAATATAAAATATTTCTCAAATCAGAGCAAATATATAAGCAGAAAACTATAAGTAGAAAGTATAAGTAGAAAATATAAGTAGAACAAATATATAAATTGGTCCGTTTTACCCCATTTAAATTGGTCCATTTTACCCCACATAACAACATTAATATTATTTTATTTTTATTTACCTGTATCAAAATTATTTTTTAAATGTAACTGATGAAATATTACTTCTAAATAACCAGAAATATGAAACTTGTAAAAAATTTAAAAATTTTAAGTTTTGCAATTTTAGTCACTTAAAATGTAATACTAAGAAATTAGATCACGAGATCTATTTGCAAGAATTTGACGTTTCTTTATAAATAACTTACGATAGTCTTATGATATAATGCCGTAATTTTTAAACAGTTAAAAAGCATCAAAAAGGAAATTAATTTTATGTTTATCCAGCAGATAGAGGTACGTACTAATAAGATCTAGCAAATGGACCATTTTACCCCGCGGTCCGTCTTACCCCACCTTCCCCTACATAAAATATTTAATATTTGTTATAAAAGTAATTGTAATCAATTTTTATTAACAAATACTTTAGGAGTATGCTACTCCGGATATAATAAGCCGTGCAAATTAACACCATATGCCGTGCTCCTGGCAACATATGTAAATTCCGAACAGGATTGTCGACAAAAATGTTCGAAAATGAGAGAAACTGATTCAATTCCTTGCATGGCTTTCAGTTATAAGTAAGTATGCGCTGAGAAATCTCTTTTCTTAAATAATATTTTGAATTTGACAAATTAATAACAAAAATATATATATAATATATTTTGTCATTAATATATTTTACAAATTAAAATTAAATTCAATTCAATCACGATTAAATAAAATTAATAATATAGTGATACTTTCATAATAACAAAAAATTTTAAATATAAATAATATTTAAATTTTGAGTTTATTGATGCATAACTTTCTTCGGTTTCCAGGCTCACTACGCATGGCACAGAAGAAAACTGTTTACTGAGTGACGTACCTATAAGAGACTTACGACCGGGTCTAGATTATATCCATGATAACGATCACGTTCTTTACGCGTGGAAAGATCTCGATCCTTATTGTGTAGTTACCGGCTATTCTGTCGATGACGATCACGTATTTGGCGGACCGAGTCCATTGAGACCGTTACTTCCGGGCCCTTTGCGACCAAATTTCAGCTCAGGAGGGGGGGCTGGTTATCCGAGCACAAGACCCGATAATAATTATCCAGACGCTATTCCAAGACCTTTCTTTACAAAACCAAACGGTAATCATTACGGCATGAGACCGACGTACGATCCCGATAGGCCTGATCCTGTCAGACCGTATCGTCCCGGCGGAGGAAACGGCGGTCACGATGACAAATTTGGATACGGTAATCGACCGTCTGGATTTGGTTACGGAATTGGACCTTTTTACCGTAAATAAATCTTACAATAATAAATCTTATCTCATACAAAATATAAGAAATCTAATCATTTTCTTTCGAATTAGCGGATGAACACTCGACTTTCCGCTATTATACGGTGAACGGTTACCCGTGCAGAAGAGGTACAAAATGCGAGAAAAATAAAATTGCTGGATTTTGGACCTGCGAGACTGAAGGAAGTGAATACGGCAGCTGGGACTATTGTTGCGCGCCGACTCAACATTGCGGCTACTCACAAGGATATAATTATCAATGGTAAATTTTTGCAAATAACATAAATCGCGGCATATCATTTTTTCATCTGTTAGACTTTATACCTTTTGCACTTCTTTTTTAATCTACAATCTTTGCTTTGCTTTCTCGATCGACATATATTAAAAGCGACAAAAAATGATGTATTTTACTTTTTTTCATTACTCAATGTTACTCAATGATTCTCTACAGTTAGTATGCATAATTGAGTAGCATTAATCGCTTCAAGTTATAAATGATAACAATCTTGAAACACTCACCGATCCCGATGCGTCTCTCGCGCTTCCGGCAGCATCCCATACTTTCTTCTGTTCCTGTAAACAAAAGAAAGCAATATTAATAATAAATCAATCACAGGTGCTACGTGGGATCGTCAGAGGACCAGTGGCGACCATGCAGCGAGAAGTACTTCCCCTATCTTCCGAGTTCGCGACCGATGCGGCCTAAGATCGCTGGCGATGATCGCCACGATCGTCCTGATCGTCCGCATGACCGTCCTGATCGTCCGCATGACCGTCCTGATCGTCCACATGACCGTCCTGATTCCGGTGACTACGGCAGACACTGGCCGATCACGTATCTGCATCGAGGACCGCCACCGAACTGTACGGACTCGGTCGCATCCGCCGATAACAGCGGGAATCGTCGTTCGAACGAGACGATTCCGAGCACGAGCGAGATACCGAATAGCACCACAATTAAGAGTGATATGAGTACTACGATTGCGAACGCAGCGTACCGGCAGCGGCTGCGAACGCGCACAGCGGTCATCAAAAACTCACACAATGATCGTCGCACGATTTTCTCGCGGAAGATCGACAACCAGGACGTAATTAAGGACACGCGAAATCGCGAAAATCAGACGAGTCGCGAACGTGTCGCGAAGATCGAACGAGTTTCGAAACCGGCGAGCGGTGCGCCGCACAGTGACAACGCGCAATCCGAAGGTGCACAAAGTAACGATAGCGACGAGATGATCAGAGTGCCTCTGATCACGCCAAATAATTCACTGCCAGTGACAGGAGCTTAGATGTCCGTGGCGATCTCGAATATTTTATGCCCGCCATGGTCCCGCCATTAGAAAAGCAAGATGTCTCAATTATGGACATTTGAACGTTATTTGAAATTTGAAAATCAAATGAGATTAGTCGAAAGACATTTCAGAATGAAATATAATGTTAATTATATAATCATTTAAGACATGTAGAATTTGTATCTCGTAATCGAATTAATGTAATTGCGTATGTGTCTATTGTCACAATTATGTACATATTTAAGTAATGAACAAATTATTGTACTCATCAGCTAACTTATTACAATTTGCTCCATCCGCTGCAGATTTTAAGACTGCTGCGCATCAACTCTATTCAAAAATAAATGTCGGAATTCTGTTTAATTAATTTGTGTAAAAATCACGGATTAACGTCGCGAATTTGCCACGCCACTGTAAACGCGAAATAAAATGTACTATATCGCAACGTATTCATATAATTGTTGCTAATATTATTCACGCACTCAAGCAACAAGCAAGATAACTTTCTTGACGACCGTTATGCAGACACAACAACCACTACGTTTTCTTCGATTCAATTACAACGAGTTAAATTTTCAATATTCTATATTTAACAAGAATAGAAATTATTTTTGCTTGTTTATTAGAACCTGTATGTATGTTCACTGAATTATATTGATTCGGAGCAGCTCACTAGAACCGAGTCCATAGAACAGCGCGATAACTATGATTGATAAATTGACGTTAATCGCGCGAACATGTATCATACATGACATGTTCCGGGAATTGTTTATTTTAATCGATATTTCCGACAAAAACTCCCGCTTATTATGTATTTTTAATGGATAAAATACGCAATTCATTGTAGAGTGTTCACATTCTGTATTTCAAATCGACGCGCCGTAAAGCTGTCTAGGTTGCATAAAAAGACTGTACAGGAAGATGCGCGTATAAAGTTTCGACGCGAGATATAATGCGGTTAAAAGCGGACGCGATTACATGATGGCCATTCAGTTTTAGCTTTGACTGTGCTATAACGGTGTCAATAACTATGAAGTTGTACTTCTATCGCATCCAAGTGTTTGCATTTTGCATTTTGGTATTTCTCTTAGGCATCTTTGAACAAGCAGTACTCGCCGCTACCATCGACGATACAAATTTCGTGAATATAACTGCTAAGTTATTCGGAAATCAAAAGCTTTGCATAAGAAAAAATAGCATATTTTCAAAATTAATTGTTCATTGAAAAAAATTGCACTATTACCATAAAAAATTTTAGATGATATTTATGAGAAGATTTATAATATATATGTGTGACGAGTGTGTTTAAAGTTATTTGACATTATTATTCTTAACATTTATAAACTTTTAAACAAAATCTTTAATAGTTCTTTTTATTATTTTTGTACAACTCAAAAATCTCAAAACAAATACTTATCTTATATGTTATTTATTTCAATCGATTCGATAATATGAATTCATAGCGTTAATGTTTTTTTATGTATAATATTACGTAACCAGAGAGAAGACTGAGAGTGGACATGCCCGCATTTTTCGTGTTTCTGTGGGCTAGCGCCTCTATGTGCACAAAACGTGCACATTGAACTACGTAGCCAATGTCCACGAATCTCGTAGGTAACGTCCACGATCTTTTGGGTCTCTTCCGTGCTACGTCCACGACTTTTTGGTTCCGATATGTGCTATATCTACAAAGTGTCGGTAATGCATACTTGTAAAACATGATTATGTATATCAATCAGATTTGAAATATAAATACACACGTATTGTAAATACATGTATTGTAGCATTTATTTTTGCATTTACAGTTTATTTAGCAAAAGATCAGTTATTTTCAATAACCTGTGTAATTTGAAAATGTACATTTAAATTATTTTAATTAAATTACTTCTATAATTATGTGTGTGTGTGTGTGTGTGTGTGTGTGTGCGCGCGCGCGCGTGCGCGTGTGTAAATAAAAATGTTGCATTTTTGTCAATATTTAAAAAGATGATAAACTCTTATAGATATCTCATACAGTAATGACCTATAACTTATTTTGAATAGTAAAAGCCAGGGTTGGGCGTTTACACGTAAACTATAATAGATGCAAAAACAAGCATACTTTTATTATATATTTTGGGTATGCGCTAAAGTGATTGAGGCTATTATCAACTCGATCGGCCCAGGCATTATTGAGTTCCGATAATCTCGGCTCTCTAGAGAGTCCAGCGCTGGACTCTTCGGGCTCGCGTAAAGATACACGTTTGGTTTCGCGCTGCGCGTGAACTTGGCGCGAGACCTACCGTGTCTCTTGATTAAAGGTCAAGTATTAAGCAGCTGCATTTAAAAATTGTCATTTGTCATCGTACGCACTGTGTGCTACGATGAATAATCGTGCAAGAAGATATGTGTATTTAGGTCAGCATTAGAAATAATTAACAGTGAAACGGAAATTGCACATTGCATACTTTTTGTAGAAATAGAGAAAATTATGAGGCGACTTCAGAGGTGACCACAGTGTTTTATACGTATGTTCTTGCTTTTCTCAGTAAATTCCGGATGTTCCTTCATCATCACACAACCCATATTTGAATAAAAAAAGCTGCGCTTGGCATTGTGAGGATTCACATTGATATCGCAATACTTGTGATGCATATGATAGTTTTTTGCCCATTTGCATATAGTATTCTGTAATAAAATTCAAAAAAGATTGTAAGTAAGATTGTAAAGTTCTATCTATACTTTCAAATTATACATTATATATAATGCAAGCAGAGTTGTTCAAATTATTGACAAAATTGATTGAGAAATTCAAATTACCTGTGCACACGCGCTGAAGCATACCAACAGCAAAATTCTCAATGGTAACTTTGGATCATAGCATTTATGAGTCTAAAGTCGAGTTGCGCCAGTAGACACGTCAAAATTGGATATAATGAACATACCAATTACTTAACAATATATAAAAATATATTTCTTAAATATTCTATAAACATCTATAGGTAACAATAATGTAGAGATCTAACAATAAGAAGTAGAACTTAAAAAAGTTTTAACATTTTCAAAAGATTTTCAATAATTGTAACAATAATTATTTTTCGTAAGAAATTATCTTTCAATTATTTCGTAACTTTGATACGCGTTGAACGTACGTAAATTTGTTAAAAATGTTTTATACTTTGTTGTTGGTATTTATTGATGTTTTATTTATTAATAAAATAAAAAATATACAAGTTAAGTAAGTAGTGAAGGAAATATTACAGCTTTTTATTATAAAAAATAAAACAAATTCAATTTGTTACAGTAGTTAGTGTCAACGATAATTTTCAGTGTTCTATGTAATTTAAATATCGATGAATATCGCTAACATTGTGTGAAATACTTACAATAAATTATAAATCAATTTGACAATTACAAAAATTTACAAAGAAGTTGCCGTAATTTATAAGTCCGTTTTCAATAGTTTATAATTTGTGACAGAATTTAAGATAATATTTTATTTATAATTTTGTATTTCATGCGTATAATACAGAAAAAACTAAAAAAATCGGAATAGATATACAACATATTAATAATATTTGAATTGTGTTTTTGACTAAATGTATATTCTGGTTGTTCAAACATTTTTTATTATTATATATAACAGATTTTTATCTCGAACTTTGTTGTGAATTGTAGATCGCCTCAAACGGGTTTAATAATATCTCATCCGTACTATCATTGATATCTTTCACTGCGCGAGAAGAAACTACTCTGTTGGTGAAGCACTAATCAATTACTTTAATTTTATGCTAAAGATAATATTTTAAAGAGGTCATATTAGAATTACCTAGTAAGTGTCCTAAAAATCTTGAAGATTTCTTGAATTTCTATGTACATACTAAAATTTTTGTGACGGGTACACTTACTCCACAATGTAGTCATAAGATTTTTCATGTAGTTGAAAGTTAGTAAGCCATAAATACCAATGGTGCGCAACACAACTTGCAGAACAATGTATCATATTAAATCCGTTTCCAAATCGGAAAGAGCTGATTTTATCTTTTCGAATTTTTTATCGGTAGCGTCATTATCAGTGTCAACGATTTTTACTGGATTCATATCGTTGTTTAGTTCTTTTTCGATATTTACCTTTGTGCTGGTATTGCATGCAGCCACTGACGTATTGGCATCCATTTTATTGACAAATGTCAGGAAATTATTCTGAAAAAGAAATCAAATTACATGATTATAGCACTTACATTTGAAGTACGACAAAATGGAACGCGATATTACACAAATCAATCTCATATTTTTTTTAAATAGAAAGGAAGAAAGGCGTTGCATATTCTATTTGCAACAGCTTTTCCGATGGTATCTAGCAGTTTTAAATTTACGCAACTATGAATCTTATATATTATGGATATTCTTTAACAGAGAAATAAAGACAAATTGTATGAAGAAAGGTTGAGAAAATCAAGTACAAAAATTATTATTGTTTAATTTACGTTTATTTAATACTGTTATGTTATTTAATATAATTATGTTAATTTAATATTGTTAATTTATTATTAGACTTAGAATGTTGACAAAAGAAAATTTCCGAATTCGACAATTTCGTCATTATTATTAAATAATTAATAAGTGGATAAAAAAAGAAATATATATATATATATATATATAATATAATTATATATGTACATTGGCAATATCAAGAAATAAAATTATAATAATTAGGAAAATTGATTTCAAAAATTGCCTTAAAAAAGTGTTGTTTTGGCACATTATACTTCTGGCCTAAAACTTTGATCATCATCAATGACGACAATGAATTTAATAAGTCATATAATTCATATTTATTACGTTTTGTACATCTCGTGGATAAACCAAAATAACAAGCATAAAACAATTTTGGAAGAGTTCTCTTATAACAAAAGATTTATTTCAGAAATTATTTTTATTATGCGTCAAAACATGTGGTAGAACAGTTAAAGTTACTAACTTTTTATCAGAGCCTTATCTCCTAATTATAAACCTATTGCCGCCCCTCTAACTTAAATGCCTTCTCCTCCTATCGCCCTC